CCCCCCCCCCCTTCCCCGTCGTGATAAAATGAAAGAGTCGGTGAATCCTGTCAAGAGGACCACCAAAACACCAAGTCGTGTGTGCAAATTATGACTTGTTTATTTGCGGAACGGGTGGCAGGTGGTCATGCAAGTACCCCCCCCCCCTCAAGGGTTGCCTGACGATTTCGGTTGTGTGCGGTATAATATTGTAAGTCATGTGCGTGTGGGTGTTTTGTTATTTTCGTGTTTGGTGGTACACGAGTTTTCTGTCCCTTGTTTTGTCTGTAGACGAACCTCTTTATGCTCTCAAGTTTCCCGGCTCGAGTCTTGCGGTGAGGTCGTTTTCTTTTTTTCACAGTGGAGAGCTTGTGACGGTCGGTGGTATAGTCTGGGGCGGGGGCGGTAATGAGTGGGTACTCATAGCCGTGCATGCCGTAGGCGTTAGATCATAGACCTTGCATCCCTACAAAGCCGGGGTGGAGCACGGCAGTGATCGGCGGGGGTTTGATGGAAATTGTACGGCGTGTGCGCGGTGGGAAAGATAAGGGGGAGTCGCAGAGGAGGGAGTATCGAAACGAATAGGACTTTCCACCCAGGTGGTTTGTCCCCCCGTTGAAGGACTTGCTTTCTCTTCCCCGGCCTGGTTGATTGTATTGAGACGTGGGGCGCTGCTACGGAATGCGGCGAGACACCTTCGTTGTTTGAGTCTGGAAGAACAACGGTTGGTGGTCTTAGCTACGTACCTTCAGCTGTGTAGAGTACAAAGACGGTTCCTCCAAAGGCCGGGCGCCCTGTTTTGTGGCCGGTGAAGTCGCTTGACCCGGGGGAATATTCAAGCGTTTTGTAGCCTCCTGCTCTTTTTAGTGCCAGGTTACCGCACGACCCAAGCTCCCTATGTTGTATGCAGCCTTATAAAGGGAACCACTTCTTGCATGCGATCTTTGTTTGACCAAGTAAACGGTTCGAACGGAAGAATTAACGGGAGCATGGGTGGGTTGTTTAAGCGTCTCGTGGGGCTTCGTTTATGGGATGTGAAGGCCTGGCGAATGTTTTTGTAGGATTGTCTCGAAGGGGTCAATCTACCTGTATGCGTTTTCTGTGCCATGGGGCACGATGCGTCCACATCTTCCTTGTGTTTTTGCGCTGGGTGCGTAACTGTCTGGCGTGAAATTGTGGTTTCTTCTGAATCGGTGACCACCCTTTGGTGGTGCATTGTGATGCTTTGTAGGATGCATGTTGTTTTGAAGAAACCTTTCATAATCCCTTTTTGACACTGTTTTTCGATGGCGAGTTGTTGCCGTGTTTACCCACTTGTCTCTGTTGACGGCAGACGGCAGCATTCCAGTATGTTTTTTTCTATGTTTCAGGGTTTTTGTCGCCTTGTTCTTGGTTGGTTTACTCCTGTTGTCTTGGTCCGGTGCCGTGTCCCTTAGGTCCGTCGACTTCGTTGATGAGGCAGGCTGTGCTAGCGCGCGTGCTATGGTTTTCTTCAAGTAATTCCTTCGGGCGTCTGTGGTGGAAAGGGGAGGAGAGCGTGATGCCGCGGTGTTGGATGTGTGTATGTACAGACGCAACGGATCGTTTCTCCCTTCTTTATTGTAGACGTGGGAGAGCAATAATATAGCAATAAACAAAACGTAACAGGTAGTGTCCACTAAATGCTATGAGTTCATTGCTATTTTGTCCCGGATTCTTTTTTTCTGTGGATGGAAATGAGTTCGTTGTGTTTTGGTGAGAGAACAGGAAAAAGCAGACAGAGATACAGATACGGTGGATCTGTTGTGTCCCATGTTCTGTCGGTCGCGCAGTCGGCAACCCAATAGGAGACTCGTTACACGGCTGCTACCACAAAACCTTTTCTCAGGATCCCGGCCTTTCGACCCTGGATGACGCTGTCCGATGTCCAGGGATCTTGGGTCGTGCCTGTTTTTTTTTGGAGTTTTCGAAATTCCGCCGCACCACGAATGTTTTACCCTCTGGTGCTGTTGTGTGTGCGGTCAAGACGGCGCGTTTGCTGTACGCGTGGTGCCATCCTGCACAAAATCAGCGACAGCAGCAGTATTGCCCCCTGCGCGATGATGTTGCAGCGTTGGTACTCGTGAGGTGAATTTCATGAACCAACCCCAACCGGCATCACTGATCCGTCAGTGAACAGCTCAAACTAAGCCCAATATGCAGCAGGTTCCTTTCCCGTTTAAGTAAAAGATAAGGGCTTCCTCCAACCCGAGGTCTCCTTTCCTTCGAACGTGGGTGCATGGTTACGGCGAACGATGTATTCTCCAAATCAAACGGCACAAGACTTGGGTTGCGCGAGCAGTCGGCGCGCGGCTTTTTTTGTCCGGCCGGGGTCACCCTGAATAGCACACACTGAGGAGTGCCTCATGCTGATGGAATCTTCCCTGACGTTCTGTTTATCATTCCTTCAAGGAAAAAAAAACAGCGACGGAGATAAGAAGAAACGACGTCCACGCGAAGAAAAACACATAAAATCAGAGCACTGAAACACGGTGAACAGCGAGCTGCAAAAAACAAGCAAGCTTTCCCACCGCGTTGTCTGCATACGAAACAACACTGCCCATGAACTTGCGGCGAAAGCGAGCACAAAAACAAAATAATAATCAAAGCAAATAGACGAACCTTTCATCCAAACGCGTGCTTCACCCTACACTTCCTCCCTCCTTTGGACCAAATGTCGGAAAAAACAAAGAAAAGAGGAGAGACGAGTCCATTATCCGGCAGACGTCACTAAATCCTCACTACAGTACATCCATACCACACCATCTAGACTGCCTCGGCTTGGAAACCCACATATTTGACGTCACGATGTGCATGTGCGTGGATTTTTTTCAAAATTTTTTTGTTTACAGCTTCTCGCAGCCTCCTCGCTTCATGACCGTTGTCACGCCGCATCTCAACCACCGTTGTAGCTCCATCTTGATTCTTTTTTGTACAACTTAAACGCGGCAACAATCGCACACCTAGGCGTCATCGTCTCTCGAGACGGCCAGCGGAGACTGTGTCGGCCGTAGCAGCGCAGCCACCCTCGCTGCAGGACTCTAGCCCCGCCACAAATCCAGCATCATCCGCTTCAGGATTTTTTTTCGCGGAAAATTCTGGGCACTGGTGGGGGGTGTCGCGAAAGCACGTCTTCCGTTCCTCGTCCTTCAAGGTGGGCAGTAGCGGCCGGAGGGGGGGNGGGGGGGGGGGGGGGGGGGGGGGGGGGGGGGGGGGGGGGGGGGGGGGGGGGGGGGGGGGGGGGGATGTTCAAAGTATCGTGTGCGGGCAACCGGCAGCCGTTGGACTCTTGACGACGCAAGAATTTTTCAGTTATAGATAGCTGAACGCATTCTGCACAGAACGGCGCCGCACCTGCGAAAAACATTCCGTCAACGAATAGCGTAGAGGCCCAAAGTTTCGCGAAAAGTAAGAACATAAGGGTTACGACCGCTTCAACAGCGTATCCGACACAAACTTCCGCCTGGTTGTGCTTCTGCAACAAGAAGCCTGTTCTCGAACGTGGCGAAAAAATGAAAAAAAAAAATATCCTAGGCTCGAATTCGACGGTGCTTGAGAGCGTGCCCGTTCGTAAAACAGAGGGGACACGCGAAACAGTGTAGGCCTGTCTTGTCCATCTCTCCGGCCGTAAGAGTTAAGGCCTACGCCACTCACGAGGATCTTGAAGTGAGAGAAGTGCAGCTTAATCTTGGTGTCGGCGTAGTCTTTCGTCTCGAAGCCGACCACGTCGCAGCCGTTGCCCGGCGGCCCCTGACGCAAACGCCCTTGCATTTTCTCGCCTGGGTGTGTGGGTCCGACAGGCCGGGTAGGGGGGGGGGGGGGGG